GTAAGAGATTGTTTGGACGCTGTCATGTAAAGTATTATGAAAAGCTGAAGGACCAAACTCACTCCTTCGAACCTAGTGCTATTATCAGGAAAGCAATCTGGTCCCGTACGCTGATCTGAATGCAAACACTGCTCAAGTTTTTAAATATTAACATACAGCTCTATCATCCTCCAGCCGCCCTGAAAACCCTAAGCCATTGTATCAGATATCACAAGGAGAAAGCGCTAATACAGAAGACAGTGGAATATTCTGCTTTCCATCAGGAGACAAAATGCCACACGACAAAAAGCTGTTGTCTACATGCGAATCTTCAGCACCCACCACAGCAGACTAATCCAGACTGTGTATTTAGGCAATGCTCTCAGACAAAAATATCCAGCAAAGATCCCATGAAAGGCAAATGCTGCTGGAGCCCTCGCCAGGGTGCACTGCCCTGCGCAGAGCACTGCCCCAACACAACAGGCACCGGCCGCTTGCTGAAGTCTTCTCTGACTGCTCAACCCCAGGCAGCAGCTCCCCTCCCCAGACTTGCCCACACCATCTCTACACCTGGATCTGAACAGATCGTATGCACAGCTGAATTATTTTCATCAACCTTTCAATACTTGTCTGCTTTGGGTTTTTTTTTCCCCCTGTATTAATAGTTGTATAGCATCTCATCTTGGACTGTGCCTGCTGAAACCGGTTATGCTCTGGTGTAGCTCCCGTCTTCAGCAAAGGAAAGCGTAAAGTCCTGTAATGTCCGGGCACAGAATAGTTTTTTTTTCAATAAAGATTCCTCTTATTTAAAAAGAAAAGCAAAAAACTCTAGACTCAGGGTTTCCTTCAGAACTAGCTAAAGGCAACAGTGAGGAGCATATCTGCTACACTTTTTGTTTCCTTCTGAAGCATTTCAGAACAGTATATTCTAAAAAAAACCCCAGCCCCTAAGGAGACTCCAGAAAAAGGAGCCAGAGCTCTACATCGTTGCCACAGCAACAGTTTGCATGAACATGATGGAGCAGCCAGGAGCTGCGTGGAGGTGCTCCCGGGGCTGCCACCTGTACCTTCCCAAAGTGCTCGATGAGGATCTCAACTACTATGTTTTGGAACTTGATGTTCATCATCGCTGCCACGGTGTCCTCCTGTGCTCGCATGAGGGTAGGTCCAAATATCACCCCCATGTTAGACGGTGACATCAGATTCTCTCGGCTGTGCTCACATATGCTGTGGAGAGGAGGGAAAGAAGGAGTAGGTTTTGGTTTGGTTTGGTTTTTTTCAAACAGATCTTATTCCAAGCAATAAAAAAAGGATACAGTAAGAATCGTTCATTCAATTTTCTTCATTTTGTTTCCGCAGGATTTGTTTCCCAACGCTACCAGAGATAAAACATGTCCCTAGCTATGACATGCACTTTTGGCTCGGACAACTGTTTGGGAGAGCAACATGCTGACAGTATTTTTATTTGATCCCACTCCTAGCTCATCTTTTAACTCTGTAATCAAAAGTCGTCTGTGCAACACACACACAAAAGGAATAATTTAAATCAAAATATCCTATTTATCCAGAACTGACTTTCGGCTTTAGTTTTTCCTCTCTCTGAAGGAGGAGGACTGAACGAAGGAGGCACACTTTGGAGTTTTTCAGTAAAACTCTACACAGCACCTTCCTTCTGAAAGAACCACCGTTTTCACAGAACAGAGCTCTCTCTGTCCAGCAGCCTTCAAGCTTTGGAAGAACGCGCAAGCCTGCGGAGCAGCACCGGTTGTTGACTGAAGTAATAACCACCTAGGTGGGCACTACCTGTTTCCAGAAGTGGACCAGAGGAGAGAGACTCTGATGCTGACACATAATGAATTCTGGGTTTGCCCTGTAGCTCTGGTGTTAAAGAGGTTTCTGTCAGCACGAAGGGGAAAGGGAACAGAATGTAAGCGTAAACACTTTAAGGAATAAACACAGTGACCACAAGTACAGCATTAGCTTCATCGGACTGCACACCAGACACTCGCAGCTCTGCCACTTACACAGAAAGGTTTCTAAAACCCACACAAACATGTGCATGAAAGGCTGGAACTGGATGGCAGGCAGGATCCCCCAGCCAGCCCTCCTCGCCCCAAAGAGGGGGCATGGCACCGAGGGGCCAAGCACTTGCCTTCCAGTGCTAGGGTGTGACAATCCCAGGTCAGCCCTGGTTATTTCTGAAACAGTCCAGTTTTGGAAACGACTTCTCCAAAGGTCCAAAGCAAGCCCTGTTATATAAAAGCCATTGCTTCTGCAAGCCCTGGTCCTTCCTGACCTGCACACAGATTGTTCCCTTGCTTTTGAGCTTCAGCATGGCTTGTCACAAGCCTCTCTCCCTGCTGCACCCCTGCTCCTCCCTGGGATGGAGAGGGCAGAGTTTCCACACTGAGCCTTTGCATTCGGTGTGACATGGAGGCAGGAAAATAGCCATTTCCCAATGCACCGCTGGTGCCATTATCATCAAGTAACAGACTTTTTCAGTGGCTCACTGGCAGAAGCATGTGGAAGCAGTGCTGCTCAGTGCCACCAAGCATCCAACACGCCTGTATGAGAGCAGAGACTGACACACTTAAGCCTTCGTGCTGCTCCAAGGGCTCAGGACATTGAATCCACAGAGCTGGAGATAAAACCAAAGCATGCTTCATGTTCAGCCCATGGGCACAGGTCCTACAGCCATTCCCAAACACTGGAACTAACGTTCTTGTTAACTGGAGTGAGAGGTGACAATTTATAGCTCTGCTGTCAGAGGGTATTTTCATTTTAAAATTATTTCCTGCTTGGTGCTTCTCAGAAAGGGGATGAAAGTGGCAATTAGAAAGAGAAGCATCGCATAATGCAGTGGGTAGCAAGGATAATCATACCATTTGTGCAGTCCAAATGTAAATTCCGAGGGGGACTGTGGCGGATACAATTTTGCAAACCTGCCACAAAAAAAGGCTTGTTCTGCTGATGCCATTATTCCCCTCACTTTGGCTTTAGAGAAAAACATCTGCTTACTTGACGAGGTGTTGTATGAGGAGCTCTAACATCTCTCTGTTCTTGTCAGGTAGTTTATAGACCAGCGCGTGAATGGCTCCCAGCCTGTAATCCAGGTTCTCAGATTCTGGAAAGAAGTAACACAAAGAAAAGTTTGTGCCCACCACTTTCAAAGTAAATACATAAGAGAAAGATAAAGCCAAAGAAAATCTGTGGGAGCTGTTCCTTCTGCAACGTAGGGCTGGCTGGCCCAACCCGGTGATGGGAAGCAGAAGTAAAGTGAGATTACATAGCAACAGGGCAATCATTGTGAGAAACAAAATGAAGTGGAAAGAGGGAGAAATGAAGCTTGAAAGGGAGCTCAGGGTCACACTCTGCCTCTGAGCATGGCCAAGGAAACAGGCTCGGCATGGCTGGGTACTCCCCTTTGCACCCTCGCCCCGCACACCAGCACACCTGGGGAACACACGGCCTCTCTGCTGGGTATCTTATCAGCCCAGATAGCTGTAACACTGAACAACGCGGTAAAACATCCTGCAGGGAAAAAAATTGAGTCCCTGACCCAAAGAGGTCACCTTTAGAAGCATAAATAATCAAGAAACAATAAAATACTCGGTGTGAAAAGAATAGTGTGGGATCTTGGTAGCTGGGAAGCTTAATGGTGCAAGTTTCTGAGGGAGGGTAGGGAAGGGATTATGGTTTTGTACATACCCAGCCATCATTGGTTTAACCAGTTCTGAAACTAATAAATCTTGGGCTTGAGCACAATCAGTAGGTGGTGGAAAATTTTCCTTTCCAAGAAAGAACAAGTGTTATTAATTCTCCAGAGGTCCAAACTGAGGAGAGGCGGGCGCTCTCCTACCCTCCCTGTGGACTTCAAGGAGGCATGGGGGTGTGAAGGATGCTTTAATCCAAAGTGTTTCTGAGTGTGCCATGAATTTCCAAATGCCAGTACTCTCATGCTGAGGGAGATGACCAACTCCCTGTATCCCTCTCGTCTCCATCTCAGCATGCTGGCTCTCAACACGCTCTGAGGATGAAGCCAATTCAAAATTATTATGGCTTATTTGAAATGGCCATAACAACAGGACAGCCGAGGACTGGCCGGTTTAGCACAGTTGATGCCCTGTCAGTATACCCACGTTACTCGCTAATCTCCACTAATACTGGCTGTGGCTCAGTTCCAAGAGCTGCAGCAGAAAAATGTCTTTCATGTACTGGAAGACGCTTTGGATTCAACATTCCAGGACAGATTTCATGACCTAAAGGGAGCACCTATCTATCTGTGTGGCAACAGCACACCCCATTCCCTCACAGGTTTTAAAATAAATATATTAATACTATCGAGAAACAATTCTTCTGGGACACCCATGCTGATTTCAGGTTAGTTGACATCCCCTGGCTCTCCAGACCCTCCGAGAGCATGAAAACCTGTTAGAGGGAAGAGCACTACAACAGCAAAGGAAAGAAGGGAAGAAATACCACCACCTCCCTCGCACAATTAAGCACTCAGAAGAGTCACTCCTCTTTCTACAGGGGAAAGCAGCCGGACACCCCAGTGTCGGGCTGGCAGAGCTCTGTCAAGTGATTCTGATGTACACTGGTTGGGGAGAGCAGGGCTAGGGACTGTCAGCAGGGCAGCTGCGGGACTTACTGGCAGCCAGGACCAACTCTTTGTGGAGCTTGTACGTCATGACGGGTTCAGACAGGTTCCTGCAATAACCAGAAAGAAAACTCAGCTCTGGCAGGGCAGCGCGACCCGCTCGTGACGGATCTCCAAGGAACAACGGGCAAACCTGCTTGCCCTCCAGCACCACCGGTTCCCGGTGGCATCTCCCCCCCAGCCAGTATTAAACAGTTTTCCCCATAGAACATGCGGTTTCCACAACAGGAATATTTCTAAAGAAGAAAAAAAAAGAAAAAAAAAAATCCATTCCTCTTCCCAAAGCCTTCATCACTTCTTTGCCCTTTCCAACAGCCAGATGTTAACATCTGGCAGTTCACTCTGCTTTTCACCTGGATCAGCCCCAAGCTCCTTTGCCCACTCAGGGCAGGTGTGACCTGCAGTGCTACCTGAGATAAAACTTCAGTGAGCTGGTAATCGTTTTGATGTCCCAATCGCCACTTTGGAGATCCACGTCCCCTGGACATTTTGGATCTAGAGGAAGAACAAAATGACTTTAAAATAAGGTCCATTTTGACGTTGTTAATAAATAGCACGCTCCCAGGGAGTGTATGCTCTCAAGACAAACGAAGCTACAACAGCACATGAAGAAAGCTGCTGATTCTCATGGTTGGGAAAAGCAAAACAACAGTACCAGCGTCAGTATTTTGGAAAGGCTGAGGAGCAGTGCTAACTAGGGACAAAGGAAGAAGCAGAAGGTAACATTTAAGCAGTGGTGAAAAGTTAGTGAGGGCATATCCTCTATAGTTTGCTTTTTGCCAGCACAGCCAAGACTGGCAGAAACGACACATTTCAACAGGTCCAAGACAAGCTTTCTGATACCCAGAGCAATCTAAGTGTCCAGCTCCAATCCCTCCTTCGCAGCTACTCCCCTGAAGGCTGTTCTAGAAACATTCCCTCTCACTGCACGGAGAGGAGGGAGCTCAGAGGCGTGGAAGTACACTTTGCTCCTGCCTATCCTCACTGAACAACCACATAATTTCTGTGGTATGATGAAGGACAACCATGTGGACATGGTTGGAGGATAGTAGGCAGCTGGACTAAAGAAATAAACTGCATGATTTATTTTAAAAAAGAAGTAGGACTAGAGAAAAAAAAAAAAATAAAAGAAAAAAAAAACTATCTCCTTACTGAAGTTCAGCATGAAATCCTTCTGCAGCAGTTATTTCTGTGTTGTTGGACTTTTCATTGTGAGTTCGTACACAGTAGGGTGGCAAGTGGTCAACCAGACCAACGCATATAAATAAAACGAAAAGCCGCTCACTGGTGGGGTTCAGAGGAGAAAACCACAGAGCTACTCACAGGGAGGGTGAGAATCAAGAAGCAATAAAAACTTAGGCTAAGTAATTAGTCATCAGGCAAGCATAACCGGATAGCTGTCTGAAGTCGTGGCTCCATGGGAATTGGGTACAGCTATATGTCAGCACAAACCAGCCGTTTTAATAAACAACAACAATAGTAAAAGCAATAGTAACAATAGTAAAAAACAATAGTAAAAGCCTTTGAATACTACATTAATATCAGATGTCTGCACAGGGAGCTGGCGCAGGCCTGAGGCACACAGGTATCAATGCAAACATACTTTCTGCCCTGTGCTCCAGCCCCTCGGGCAGGGACGGTGAGAACGGCTCAGCCTTTGGGCATGTGGGAGACCGACCCTCGGGGCTCACTTAAGGGGCTCGCAGCGTGCCCTGGCCCACACGTACCACGGGGCAGGGGCACGATGGCCTCAGCCAGGTCCCAGCCCGGGAGCACCTGTCCTGGCACGGAGCGACGCTGCTGAGCCCCACAACCTGCTGCAGGGAGTTTAACCTTTGCTCGCACGAAGACTGCCCACCAATTGACACGCTTGTATGAAATACAAGATTCAGTGCACAGAAAGGCTTACAGCAGAAGTGCATGCATTGACATATTAATGTATACATTGCATACAGTGAGGTATCCCGGTCCTTCTGGGTGAAAACCTTAAACCAGGGTAACGGCCTCCCTGCAGAGGCCACCTTCCCGGTATAGCTTTCCACGATACCCCACTGAGGAAAAGTGTCCCCTTGAGCTTGTCTGCAGGGGCTAGTTTAGGAGGTAGCCGTGCTGGACCCATGGGACAAGGCACCTCCCCATGAACAGCATTGGCCGGGCGAGTTCCCTGGCAGCAATGCTGCAGGAGGGGCTGCCCGTACCCTGAGGCCCTCAGGATCCCGCACGCTAATTAATGAGCGCTAACCTGCAGGTCTGGTTCTCATTTGCCCTGCCTAAATAAGAATGGGGACCCAGGCTGTTACCAAGGGAAAGGAGGCGTGGTGGCTGGGTGAGCAATGATTCATCCTGTTGCCTGACTGTCGGGTGATGCTGGCAAACCCGTGCCACGTGCGCCCAACCGCGCGAGCAGCCCCGCTGGCCGCAGCCCCTCCGCTACTGCCGCGGTTTGACCGGGAGCTGCCGCAGCCCCGCTCCGCACGCTGGGAGCTGCCGGCCATGCAGACAGTGGAGGAGAGGGCGAGGGGCTCATCTCTCTTTGACTGATGTCCCGAACCTTGGGCCCGTGTCAGGAATGCGTCCCCAGCACGTGACTCCAAAATGCCTGAATATTTTTAGCACACGATGGGAGAAGGCTTGTCCCCACTGCTCCAGGGTCACTGCCTCCCTTTATTTCACTGCTGCTCACTTAACTTAAAATGCAGGTTGCACCAAAAACAAATAAATGCAGTTTAAAGGGAGAGGCACTAGAGCAGGCTGCAGAAAAAAGCCCAGAAAAGACGGGAAAGATGTGCCTCAGAGGGGCCACAGGGACCAAAAACCATGCTGGACATTTCTCACTGTGAAACCGGATCCTCTCTGTCCCTCTTAAACAATACAAGACCAGGACAATCTAGCTGCACAGAATAATTAATTCTTACCAAAAAAGGCATTCAGCAACTTCTGCACCTGAATATTGCTGCCAACAGTCCGGTAGACGCCCTCCGTAGTTATCCCTAAGCAGGAGAAAGCCAAAGAGCATTAGCCAAAGGTCTTCGCCAGCTGGTGGGAAGTCCAAAAGCCCCATCTGTGGAACTCT